TAATAGCACCGGCTGAGATCTCGCCCGTGGGGCCTGTGGCCCTGTGGCCCCTCTGATACCTCCCAATGTTAAACCAGTCCTGCCGGGTCCCCTCCCTGCCTCTCTGCCAGCCCTAGCGCTCACCTGTCACCACCTGGCCCCCTTAGCAAGGCCGGCCAATTCACCCTGGAGGTCACCTCCTCTGTGGCACTGACGACCTCCCCCTTTCCCGTGTGATCACTCAGAGCATCACCTGTGCGTGAACGCTAACCTCGGTCCCATTCGGGAGGAGGAAATTGGCAGATAAGCACAACATCGCAGCCTGCTGGGGTGTGGCGGAGCTAGGATCTGAGCCCAGGCCGTCTGCCCCTGGGCCCTCCTGGCGCCTCCCAACCCCAGCTGCTGTGACGAATCCTCTGGTCACCCAGGGAAGCCACCAAGCATAGCCACATTTTCCAGTAGGGAAACCGAGATGTCTGACACCTCCCCAGGATTCCAGGGTTTGGCCAGAAGAGTAACTTCCAAGATGAGGTGGGCACAGAGGTTTGGGGTAATCTTGCTTCTGGAACTTTCTCTTCTAATTTACAGCCTCCCCCAGCCCTTTTCTCCAACGCACATCAGCTAAGCCCTTAAAATAGTCAAGGGCTTGAAGAACGCTAAAAATTTAATGTATGTTAAAAGGGTATTAAATTCTAAACTAAAATTTACATGGAAATATGACATTAAAATATTTTTAGCTTTCAGGAAGCTGGGGGCTGGAATGCTATAATGTAGACAAATTTTATCATTTTAAAAAGAATTAGCCTCACAGTATTTCTTCTGTATTCACAGAGTTAATGCATAAAGATGTGAGCCCTGCCTGGGGCCACGCGGCAAGGCAGGCCGGGGTGAGAGGAGAGGCAGCTGGCGGGAGCCCTGGGAGGGAGGGTGCAGGCCCCACCTGGGCCCCGGGGCTTCCCTGGGGGGCTGTGTCCCCGGAGGCCTGAGGTCCTGCCTCGGCCCATGTGTCCCCAGCGAGTGCAGGGCCGGGTGACACAGCTCCGTGGCTGTTACCAATCCCTACTGCCAGGCCTGAGCCCATTATCTTATTTACTCCTCGCAACCCCCTGAGGAAGGAGGGACTGTCTCAGTTGTGCGGGAGAGCAAGTGGCGCAGAGAGCTTGAGTCGTGAGCCCGGGTCACACAGCGTGGAGGTGGGTTTTCATTCCTGCTGTGGATTCGCACAGCAGGGTGGGGAGGTGGGCGCTGTGGGAACAAACACGTGGTGATTTGGGGCCCTGGGAGAGGGTGAGGGGCCTGGAATGAAAGAGGAAGTGGAGACCGTCCTCGTGGTCCCCGCTGGGCCCTGCTAGTTGGCAGCCAGCTGCCTGGCCTGGCTCCGGGGTCAGGAATCTTCACGAGTCTTCGGGAGCATGAGGAGGGGGACCCCAGGGTTCCCTGATCCAGCTGTCCTGCCCCCAGCCCGCCTCTGGTCCAGGCACTGGCTCAGAGCAGAGCTCGAGAGGCCGTGGGCTGAGACCCCGTGGCCCAGCGGGTGACTAGCCCATCTGGCCAGCCTCACTGCACCAGAGGTCGGGGGTGAGGGAGGGCCTGGCGCTTGGTGGTCACAGCCAGGGGTGGACCCGAGTGGGGAGCTGAGCACAAGCCACACCACTGAGCCCTCACCACCGAGACGGGCCTGCTCACTCTCTCCCTTTCACAGACAGGGAAACTGAGGCTCAGAGCGATTAAAGAAGGTACCCTGAACACCCAGCTACTGGCCAGGGGCAGGGCCAGGATCCCTACCCAGGCTCTGTGCCTCCTGGTGGCCGGGAGGAGGCCCCCGGACTGTCTGGGTGGGGACAGCCCGGAGGCCCCGCGGGCAGCTCTCCCCTGCCCGCCGCACGTGCTGCTGCTGGCGCAGGAGGGGCTCGGGCGGTGCTGGTGTCCCAGGGGGACCCCTGCCAGGCTGGACGGCCGCCCGGGCGGAAATGACCACTCGCTGCCTGGCGGGCACCTCCCGGCCGCTGCACCTCCGGGAGGTCACTCATTGGCAGTTAAAAATCTATTGTGACTCGTCAGAAAAATGAATAAATGGGCACATTATTTTTTCATTCCAGACCTCAGCATCTGTTTGTCTAATCAGGAAGGAGAGTGGGAAGTCGGCAAGGGCTGCCGCGCGCCTTTATGCAAGTTTTCCTCTGTCAGAGGAGTTTAAATGGGTAATGAACAGGCCGTGGTGATTTGAAATATAATCCCATTACGCTGACGAGATTACCAGGCCTCAGACTTCACAAATCACTCCCAGGGCTTTTATCCAGAACACCGCCCTGTTGGGACTTTGCGTTTGAGCAGAGGTGTTTGGCGAGAACACGACATGACAGTTTAACCCTTTCCCTCTCCTTGGCTGCTTTCCGAGCAGCAGGGGCCTTAGTGGGGCCGTCGGGATCTAGGGTGTCCGGGCCACACCGGCCCAGGCGGAGGCCCAGCAAGGCCGGGGGACAGCTGCAGGCGGGGAGGGGGCTGGGAGGCCAGAGAGCGGACCTGGGGCCTTCTCTGCCACTTCCCGACCGCATGGCCCCGCGTGAGGGACTTTGTTTCTCTTGCCTCAGTTTCCTCATCGGTGTAACTGATAAACGGTTAATTAAATAGTAACTAACATTAGGTGACAGCTTAGTGGAAGGCAGGAGGCAGGCCCTGAGGAGAGCATAGAACGTGCTAGCCGTCTGCTAGGGTGTGGGATGTGTAACCGTGGTCACACACGTGATTTCCGGGGTGCCGGAAATGGATGTGTTTACTGCCCCGAGGGAGGAGGTTGGACTAAATGACCTCACAGCCTTCTCAACTCCCAGAATTATTCAGAAGCAGAGATGCTCCTGTTTGGCAAACAGAAACCACTGGAAAGAAGGTTGGGCTCCCCGTGATTCTGAGGCACGTATGACGTCCCTGGAAGGGTCGGCAGAGGACATCTCATGCTGCACCTTTGCTTTCAGATTAGGAAACTGAGGACCCCAGAGGCAGTAACCAGCTCAGAGCCACATGGGCCCCAAATGCGGAGGGCAGACCCAGGGTTAAGAGCAGGGCTGCCGTGTCTGCCAGTCCCCCAGGGTGTCCCCAGGGCCAGTGCAGTGACCCTTCCGAGCTCTGCGTCCTCACCCCTGGAACGGAGATACTGACAGGCCCTGCCAGAGGCTGGCTGTGGGAGCTCCGTGGGCTGACACACATCCAGCTTGGTGCACAGTGGCCCTCAGAAGACAGGGGGCCGGTCTCAGTGGCCAGCTGGGGCTGCAGGGACCCACTGCCCCGGCCTGTCAGGCTGCCCACACTTCGTCAAGTCCCCAACGGAGTTCAGAAGCCCAGGTATGAATCATCGACACCGTGACTTTTCGTATCACGTGGGGTGGGGTCCGTGCTGGTGCCAGGTCAGGAGACCCGGTGGAAGGTGGCAGTGGGGTCCGTCAGTCACGTCAGTCAGCTGGAAGGCGCGGAGCTCGCGCTCTGCCAAGGCTAGTGCGGGGAGGGTGCGGGACGCTGAGCTCACTCATGGCCTTGTCTTAGAACCTAGGTACGGGCTGGGAGAGGGGCCGAGGAAAAGCCGAATTTACAGTCTTGACATTTGCTGGACCTGGGCGGTGGTGCAGTGTCCCCTTTAAAATGACTCCTTAACCTGGACACCTGTGTTCTGTGTGAACTGAACGTGTCACATTTCACCGTAGAGAATGGTCTCGGTGCTGATTTTGTAACTGCAGGAGCTGCAGGAGGTGATGATTCCGGCGTCACCCTCGAGTGTAGAGGGCCCTTCTGTCCTGCTCAGGACCACAGGGGCCCTGGTGCGCTTGAGGGATGCTGGGTACAGCAACTGCCAGCAAATGCCGACGCCCAGAAGACTCACTGCAGAGCCATTGTCTTCAGCAGCATATACTCAAGATTTCAGGAATTCAAAGCAATATGCAAGAGAGGGAATTTATATGACTTTTATTTTAACATTTTAATATTGAATATGTCACAAGATTTAATGACCAAATTAGTCATTTACATTTTTTCAAAGATATCTAAATATAAAATTGCTAAAAATTCAAATACAGATAGCAAGCTACAAATAATATATATATATTTTTTGTTTCCAGGGTGGGTAGGAATGGAAGACGTTAGAAAAGGATGCTCCTGTTGGCTGAACAAAGATCAGAATGAAAGAGGAATTCATTAAAATGACCCCGTGTGCAAAGAAATACACTCAACTTTGAGATGCTGTTTTAGACACATCTCTTCCTATACAACAATTTAAAAAACGTTTTAAATGCAGGTCCTCAGTGAAACATCTGGTCCTCAGCCCTGGCTGGGGACAGTATGAAAGGCTGTCACCGCCGGGTACACTGAAGAGGCTGTCGAGGACTGCAGAGGCATCTGGTGTGGCCAGAGGAGTGGTGTCGGGGCATCCGACCCCTCGCCTGTCACCACCCGGGGAGCTGGCCATGGGAGCAGGTCTCCCTGCGCTCAGCCTCCCCGACACAGTGAGAACCAGCCTTCCCGCCTGCTCCACCGGGGGCAGGCGCTGTAAGAAGAGAAAGGGAAACGAGGCCCCTTCAAAGGCAGCGAAGCGGAGACTATGCCCATTCCAGGAAGATCCACATGCGGGTAGAACTGTGGGCTGAAACCTACACGTGCTGCTTCAGCAATGGAAAAGACCACTTGTGGCTGGGAACGTCGCAGGACCTGAGGACCAGCCATCACCCCTCTCCCAGCACCCGCGGCTTCCACGGCTCTGGTCAGAGGTGCTGGGATGCATGGAAGGGGAAGATGACACAGCTTTGGACACACAACACTAGGTCCCCATTCCCAGCTTTTAGTGAGATGCTATCCTCAAAGCAAATGCATTCATTTAAACAAATGGCATAGCTAGAACTATTGACTAAGACCTAAACATTTCTTCTGAGAAATCGAGCCATAGCTTTTCCAATCTTCCTGTTCAATATGGGAACAGATTTTAGAGAGAATAACATAATCAATCCTTCGCCCCAAAGAATGGTCCATCATACCAACCATGATAAAGAGTACACCTGTTTATTAAAAGGAAAACCAGAAATGTACATTTTTGTTCTTTGTTTGCTTTAAGAAATTTGATCGAGTTGCAAGGACGTGTCTGGGCACGGCTATGTACATCCTGGGCAGGTCGTCAGGCAGTGAAGACGGCTGGGCAGCACGTGGCTCCTCTAGGGGGTGGTCTGGCCCCCGGGCATTGCTAATCAAAGCCATTGCCAAGCAGGCTTCGGTCCCCTGGCAAGGTCCCCAGCGCTCCCTCCTAGGGTGCCCCCTTGCACCTTCCCCAAGAGCCCACCAGCCCTGTGCCCATGAGCCGGGGGCTGGCCTCCCCACAAGGACTGCAGAGCACAGGGTGGACTCTCGGGCACCTGGCCCTGGCAGGCAGGCTCTGAGCTATGGCAGCAGGTTGAGACTGGAGGTCAGTGTCATTGCTGCCCGGATTTCTTCTCCTTCTGGAAGCTGAAGCTTGTACGTCTATTCAGTTTTCTTTGTTTTTGAGCAAAATATTCAGCCCGGGCAGTGCTTGCTCGTGATTCCAGGATGTAGTTAACCTAGAAAGCAAGAGGTACAGCCAGTCACTTGCCAGCTGCTCACTGCTCAGCCCAAGGCAAAGACGGGGGAGGTAGGGAAGGCCCTAGCCTGGGCCGGGTGCCTCGGGCCAGGCGCTCTCTTGCGGATGGAGTCCAGCCATCACAGCAACCTGGCAGGCTGGGCCCAGAGCCCTGCTTTATGACGGGAAAACGGAGGCTTGGAGGAGACGAGGGGCCTGTATGAGCCTCTCAGCGAGTGGGGGTCTTTTCAGATTCCCAAATCTGCGTGCCCTCCTTGGCACAAGCTGCCCCCCAGAGGGCTGTGCACTGGGCTGCCTGGTTCTGCCTCTAGCTTGTTTTGCAACCTGGGCTGCACATGACCTCTCTGAGCCTCACTTTCCTCATCTGAAAGATGAGAACATCACACGGATCAAACCAAACCAAGCAAGGCTCTATCTTCAGCCTCCTACCAGCCAGGCATGGAGCTTCCAGCTGTGGTATTTCCGTCAGTGCTCACAAGCACCCCACCAACCAGGGCTCACTTGACCAAAAGGAGAGAGAGGTCCAGAGAGGAGGCCGAAGTAGCCTGGGTCACCCAGAAGTCAGGCTTGAAGCTGTTGGGGGCCACGCAAGTCCTGTGTGAAGAGTGGGCACAGCTGGGGCTGCCTTCCGGGCTCCTGCTCAGGCTTCTGCGTGCTGCTGCTTCCAGGCAAGCCCCTGGGGGATCTTTCCAGAGCCACGCTCAGACATCTACCACTGCACACATGGGCATTTCACCAGCTCCTTTAGCACTGAGTAAATGCCATGTCTGAGACTGGCGCCATGCTTGGTTCAAGGGACAAAGGGCAGTTCAAGAGGTAGACTTGGTCCCTGCCCTGAGGAGCTCACTGCCTAGTGAGTATTCAACGGCGCGACATGTGCCACAGCAGGTACAGAAGCACAAAGGAACTGTCGGGGAGGTGTGGGGCAGGGAAAGCCTGCAGGGAGAATGAACGAGCTGGGGTTGTGAGGGATACATAGGAGTTTCTGGGTGTACAAGGGGCAGGAGAGAACAGCATACATCAAGGCACGGCAGTAGGGTGTCCATGGAACTGCAGAAGCTTAGCATGGCTTAGTGAGGCAGGCAAGAGCCAGGGACAGGTCTGCGATCAGACCTGCACCCCATGCAGAGGACGAGCCCATGGCAGGGTGGTGGGGACGGCGGCAGCACTGTATGGTAAATGCTAACAGCCAGCACTGCTTGAGAAAGCTCATTTGATCTTCACGATGACCTTAACAGACAGATGCCATTATTATCTCCATTGTACAGGTGAGATTATCAAAGCACAGAATGGTAATGTTGTTTGGTCAAGGTCACAAAGCTAGTAGGTGTCAGGCCCTTGACGAACACCCTTCCAGCTCCCCAGCTCCCACCCCTCAGACACCACTCCTCTTCCCACCAGCCACCTCTGGCTGGGGCATTCTTGTGAACAAAACATCATTTCTCTTCACCCGCAAATATCTAAAAGTTATGACTAGAGACCTGGGTATTTTTGGCTAGAGAAATCAGCCAACTCTACTCTAAGGGCCTAGTGTCCTGTGCCCAGAGGGAGAGAGGCCTCTGCTGACTCTGAGCAGGAACCAGGGGGCTGCTGGAGGAGGCAGCACGGAGATGGGGCCTGAATCGGCCCGGGCTCCGACACGGTCCCTCCCAGCTTTCCGCTCTGATAGTCGCCAGCAGCAGGCGTTAAAGGCTGGTGTGTGAGTACAGAAGGCCTGACACGCTCGGCCCGCTGCCTCGCCAAGTTACCAGCTGAGAGCAATAAATCATGAGCACTGCAGGGCCGGGCTGACAATTTGGGACAATACAATGTATAGAAATAAGAGGTTTTTATCATTCTTAATAAAAGCCATCTTTGGATTACATTGTTTGTACACTCAGCCAGCCTAGTGTTTTCAGTGTGTTTTGGCACATATAACTCGACAGAAGCATTTAAAAATGATCCTTAGCAAGCCTAGTATTTCCTAAATTTATTATCTTCAGTGCTTTGTGATAATCACATAGATAATTTTAATGGAAGATTAATGTAATAATCAAAAGATAAAAACGCCCTTTGGTCTGCCATTAGCTGGTTAATATGCTGTGGCTTAAAACTTGCACAATTTTATGCACTATAGAGTGTTTCACTTTCAATGCATTTTACAGCTTAAGGCATAAAAATATAGGGAGTTTTCATGGTCAATAAAGCCACAGCCTCCATCACTCGATCAAGAGAAGAACCCAATTTGAAGAGCCCAATGATTCCTCCGAGATTCATCTCAAAGCCTGAAGAATTAGGGACCACACGTGGCTTAGCTCAATTACATCTCGGATGGAAAGGGGGCAGCTCCGGAACTCCTCAGGGCGGGGTTGAAGAAGAGCCTCCACCCTTATGTGCTCTGTGGCCTTGGGCCTCCATCTCATCGTCTATAAAATGGGGACGATAATGTCTACACTCCGCAGGAAGATTAAATGAGATAATGTACATAATGTCTTGCATGTGGTCAGTGCTCAATCAATTCTAGAAGCAGAAAAAGATGAGATAAAATAACTTGATGGAAGGTTGCCTGTTCTTGAGAGTTTCTTTGATACCAGCCCCTGGCTCGTATGTTTCCTCCCTTCAATTTCCCTCTAAAGCTCTCATTCTATATAAAACTCCTGGATTCCAGAACAACGACGTGTATTACTTGAGTCTAAGACTGACCTCTGAAGAGCCTCTGGTATCAACATTTCTGCCAGACTCCATGACATGAGGCTGGGGCCTCAGTCACTTGGTGCCGGTGCAAAGCTCACAAAGACACATTTGCAACACTATGGGCATGATGGATAAACCTAAGTATTTAAATTGCTATAAAAAATCAGATAGGGCCCGCACGGTAGCTCACGCCTATAATCCTAGCACTCTGGGAGGCCAAGGTGGGAGGATCGATTGAGTTTCAGATAAGCCTGAGTAAGAAGCAAGACTCTGTCTCTACTAAAAATACAGAAGAAAAAAAAAAAAACTAGCCGAGTGTGGTGGTGCGCGCCTGTAGTCCCAGCTACTCGGAGTCTGAGGCAAGAGGATGGCTTGAGTCCAGGACTATGAGGTTGCAGTGAGATACAGTTATGCCACTGCACTCTATCCAGGGTGACAGAGCAAGAGTCTATCTAAAAAAAAAATATCAGAGATAGGAAAAGTGAAATCTAACCTCCCATCAGGATCATGATCATCGGCACTCAGGGTAAATCAGGCCTGGGCATGCTAATCTCCTGGAGTCTTGTGCATGATGCAATATTTCTACAAATATTTTGATATAAAAATAGACATTTTAGGGGAAGCGATAGGCCTCAGGGATTTTGCAAAAAAGCATCTGCTTCGAGGGAGCATTTGGTCCTGTGAAATGATTTCTCTGCACTTGATCTTCCACAGTCTCATACTGAAGTCATAAACCTGTGTTTCTGTCATCAATCTGCTGTTGTAAAAATTATTTTGATGTCAAACACAGGATTATAATTTTACTAGAATCCTTCTCAAGTCTTGAATATTTTAATGCTGGCTATAAAAAAAAAGTCCAGGCCCTGACGGAGTAATGGAATATTTCTTTACCTAGTCCCCGAACACTGCGCACAGACAAGTTGCCTGCATGGTCTTGGGATGATTGGGCAAGTCACTCTGAGCTCGCTGGCTGCAGCTCTTCCGGGCAGGCCGTCTATCCCCTCCCTGGTCCAGGGGTCTCGATCACAGTGCCTATGAACCCTCTCCTTTCATCCAGCTGGCCAGGCTACTCTGCCTCGGCTCCAAGCTGTCCTTCCAGCAGCTTTATCCTTTTAATTGTCACCCACTACATTTGAAAATCTTGCAGCCAGGGGACTTTGTCTCAAAATGTTCCTGTAAAGCAATTCCATTGTGTTGAAATCCCCCATTCAACTCTTACAGCTGTGCACATCTGGGGAATTAGGAACATAAGTTCTGGAATCTGGCAAACCTGGGGTCAAGTTCTGATTCTGCCAACTTATCAGAGTCATGATCCTGGCTGAGTTACTTTTTTTCTAAGCCTGGCTTTTCACCTCGGCGATGGGAACAATTTTACATCACTACCTCACCGAGTTGTGAAGACACACTGTGACAGGACATGTGCGGTATGTGGCCCAGGTGCTGCATTTTGCAATCTCTCGGATATCTTAGCTACTTTTAGAATTATTACTTGATGATTTCAACTCTAGAGAAGAGGATGAAGACAACTTCGGTAGGTTTACCATACCTCATTAGCCTTGCAGCCCTCTGGTGGGTGGGGCAACAGAGGTACCACGATCCCCACTTCACAGGGTGGGTAAACTGAGGCCTAGAAACGTGATGTGATTAGCCAGGGTCACATGCCTAAGGGTTGGGCATCCCTCTCTGGTTCTAATCCCTGCTCTGCCAGAGCAGTTTTCTTTTTCCTGTCTGACCTACCTGCGTAAGATGTGGCTTGATGAAAGGATTCTCGGCTTGGAAGTCTGAGAACCTCTAGTCCAGGGCTACTCAGAGTGTGGTGCACAGAGCACCAGCCTGGGCAGCACCTGGAGCTTCTTAGAAATGCACAACCTTGGGTCCTAACCCAGACCTTCAGAGCTAACAAGACCCCAGGACACTCCTACACCAAGCAGAGCTCTCAGTCGGAGTCTGCTCTGCGAAGTCCCGTGTGGGCCCTCCAGCCACCCCACGCCCACCCTGCCCCAGCCCCTCCACAGGCCATGGGTCTCATGTGCTCTCTCTCCTTACCCGGCAAGCATTTGTCCTTCAGGGTTCAGCTCGTCTGGCCTCCCTGCCCTCACCCCAAGTTAGTTTACCCTCACACGCTCACACCTTTGAGACGAGCTAACAGTCTCTTTGTGATTCTCTGTTTTATGCCAGCCTCCTCTGGCAGGGGCTAAAGCACGTGCAGAGCAGCCACCTGAGGCTGCTGCGGCCCTGGGGGCGGCAGGATGCAGTGGCTTCCTCCTTTGCAAAGCTGGGCCTAGGGGCCTTGTTCTGTGCTGGGGAGGGGGAGGGACTGTAGCAGGGCCTGAAATGGTGGGAGTGGAAGCCAGACCTACCCACCCATGGTCCCAGGGTTGAGAAGGAACACTCACCTTGAGCACGATTTCATTGACGGTAGCAGCGTCCGATTCAAAGTAGAGGTGTTTATAGTCGTGATTGCTTAGATACGTGAGTTTAAATATTGCGTGACCTGCAGAGAAAGAGAAGGCGTGCTGAGGGCGTTCTGGTCAGTTACCTGCGGGGAGGGCCTGCCCTCATCACTCCAGTTTAAGCGAGGGCAAGTGGAGGCTGTCAGCCCCACTTTGAGCGGGAGTAGTCCGTTTTCTCATCACAGGCTGGGTATACAATGGATGGTAAAAAAAGAAAGATCAAATGGCTAGTAAGGTCGCATTCCCCTCTGGAGTATACTCAGGGGAACGCCACAGTAGGAAGGCTTTATGGAACCACTTTTATATGATAATTACATGGAAAAGGAGGGTTTTCGTTTGCTTGTTTTTTGCAAGAGGGTCTCTCACTCTGTTGTCCCAACTAGAGTGCAGTGGCGTGATCAAGCTCAGTGCAACCTCAAACTTCTGGGCTCAAGCCACCTTCCTGTCTCAGCCTCCTGAGTAGCTGGGACTTCAGACGCGTGCCACTATGCCTAGTTAATTTTTCTATTTTTTGTAGAGAAGGGGTCTCACTCTTGCTTGGGGTTGATCTAGAACTCCTGGCTGAAGGGATCCTCCTGCCTTGGCCTTCCAGAGCGCTAAGATTACAGGTGTGAGCCACCATGCCAGGCTGAAAAAGGTGGTATTTTTAAGGGAGAAGGTCAATTAACCTCACATTATTACCCTAAAAATAAAATAACTGCTTAAAATCAATTAAATGGGCAACAGGAAGGAGAAGGGTCAATAACAATGCTATTACGGAGGCTTCCTCCACAGCCCTGACTCCTGCCGAGTGCGGGAGTCCTGCCTGGAGAGGGGGAATCTTGGTCTCATGACTTTGCTTGGGAGCTGCTCCCAAGGGCCTCTGGTCATTTCTACCGTGGAAGGATTGGAGGTGGGGGACTGTGAAAAGCTGGCACTTCACAAAGCAGACGGACCTCAGGGGGTCAGATTTTCTGAATACAAATCTGACCTAGGTCCCCATTCTTCCATGTCCCTTCCTACACCTTCAGAATGACACTGTCATTCCTGGGACTCCTTCCTGGTCTAGCCTCATCTCACTCCACTGCTCCCACAGGGGCCGCAGGCTACCCGTGGAGCTGCGCACACACACCCGCCCACATTGGCCTTCGTGCAGGCCCTTCCCTGTGCCTGACGTGTCCTCTCTCACTGCCCTGCACGAAAAAGACGTGCTGATCCCTGGTGACTCAGCTCGACGGGTACCTTCTTGGACAAGTTTTCATAGCTACACTTCTAGGCACCCTTCTTGCGTGGGCCTACCTACCCCGCTGTATGTGGCCCACCAAAGAAATCCGCTTCTTGTTTTATCACACCTACAGCCATGCCTGTTCTTCCTGTGCCTGTCCTTTTGGCCAGACATGTCGATCAGATTCCCTCCTCTAAGCTAAGACATAGATGCCGGCCTGTCTGAACTGGTGTAAGACCTGAGGATAAGATGAGGGGCTTTGGGACTCTCAGCCTATCGGCACATGCTGTCTTCGGGTTGTGGGAGACCCTGTGGCCTTCCAAGAAATTCTTCTTTCTCCTTAAGCTATTTAAGTTGGTTTCCATTAGTGGCAAGCAAAGGAACGTTGCCCAAGACAGACATGTAGTCAGTGCTCAGTAAACCTGCTTAGACTAAGGAGGAGCTGGTGGCATCTCTAACATAAAGGCCTCTTACAAACAGCCCAGAAACAACCTTCCCTAGTCTGTTTCGACAGACCTTGGTGCCTGAGACTGAAATTCAGCATTCCTTTCCTGTCAGGCCTCCTCATCCATTGTCCTTTTAATTGCAGCAGCCGCTGGTCAGTTATTAATTAATAATATATCACCCATATTACTGTAAGTTCACCTCTTTCCCGGAGAAATCTTCTTGGTGACTTTATTTACAGTAGCTAATTTTTCAGATCTCCAAAAATAAACTGATATATGTTGTACATTTGTGGCCAGAAAAGTTGAGCCACTGGTACTTTATCCTGGAAACATCATTATGATATACTAATTGTAACTATAAATCCTAAATGGAAAAAATTAGCTAATAATTTCTGAAAAACCTCACTTTCAGTCACTTGACAAATTTAGCTTGATTCTAAATCATGGTACTAATATCTTAGAATTCTTTTTTTTTTTTTTTTTTTTTGAGACAGAGTCTCACTCTGTTGCCCAGGCTAGAGTGCCATGGCGTCAGCCTAGCTCACAGCAACCTCAAACTCCTGGGCTCAAGCAATCCTCCTGCCTCAGCCTCCCGAGTAGCTGGGACTATAGGCATGCGCCACCATGCCTAGCTAATTTTTTCTATATATTTTTAGTTGTCTGATTAATTTCTATTTTTAGTAGAGACGGGGGTCTCGCTCTTGCTCAGGCTGGTCTCGAACTCCTGAACTCAAATGATCCGCCCGCCTCGGCCTCCCAGAGTGCTAGGATTACAGGCATGAGCTGCCGCGCCCGGCCAAAATCTCAGAATTCTTGACTGGAAGCTAATCACTCTGTTAACATAAATTACTTGTTTCTGATAAGGAAGTGAATCTTACATAAAAAGATGCATCTGTGTGTAAGTATGTATGTCCGCGTGTGTATATATTCACGTTCACAGGATCCCTCCCGCAACATCAGAGTCTTGCTGGTGACATCACAGCGTGGAGGAACAATGCAGATACGTTTGTTGGCCATGCTGTGACCAAACAGAGCCATCTATGAAGGACACAGGGTTGTGAAGGACAAACAGAGACACCTGTTCCAGGACGCTGACACCTGGCCATGACAGACACAGACACCAGGGCCTGGGGCTAGAAAAGACCAGAAGGTCTTAGGGAGGGCTGCAGACTTGAAGCTTTGGGGTTCACTGACCACTATGATAAGTGATCTCCAGGACTTGTCTACACCACCTGCTCCCGCTTGTCACTGACAAAACAAAACCTCAAGATGCTAGAGCACGTTTCGCCTGAGCAACTGAGACACCACTAAAAAAATTTCCTGCACTTTAGGTAGAGCCCAGTCTACACATGGCTCAGATGATAAGCAGTTTGCACAGGCCTGGGAGGCTCAGGAAGGAAGCCTTGCGGCTCATCTGTACACAGTCACGTGAAAAAACAAAAAAAGATTATCCTAAGCCAAGTCTGCTGAAAGGCTGCATATTTGGGCCAGGTGTCCCCAAACACCTCACTTTGACTGTATTTTGCTGTGCTCGGGGGCTGTGTGTGCCCCTTGCCTGCCCCCAGTGCTCATTCTCGTGCCCACTGAGGACGAGGGAAGCAGATGGGACTGAGGAAGAGTGGCATTGCTCCCCATCTCTCCCAGGCCTCTAATTTGTCCTTTCCAGTGAAAGTATTCACACCATTTAGAGATGGGAACTGGGCGAGCAGAGAGCATAATCTGGAGTACTTGAGCGCTTGTGTTACCAGCTAATAATCAGAATTCACACTTGTATAATTTCACCCAGTCCAAAATCTATATATTCATATGTAACAAGTTCATTGACCTCTTGCTGGAAATGAATCTGTTAATAAACACGAGTAATTTACGCTACATGGTAAATTTTCACCAAAGGTGTTTGGGAAGAAGGAATCACCTGCACTTCCACACTGACAGAACAGAGTAAGAGAAGTCTGTTATCAGATATTTTATCAGCCCAGGCAGCTCAAGGTTTACCTCAGGCAAGGGAGGAAGAGAGGGTCAAACGACATTAGTCTACCAGGGCATCTGCCCTGGCGCGTTACAGGGAATCAGGGGAGGACAGGTCACCCTTGAGAATTCCAAGACCACCAGCAGTTTTCACAGGAAAGCGTTAAGCCACAGGGGCAAACCGCCTTTGCAAAAACATCAGCTGAGAAAAAATGATCAGTGTGATTTGAAAGAAAATACAAAGTCTCATATTCCAACTAGTTCAAATTATTCTTCTTGGACTGTTAAATTCTGTTTTGAAATTAAGGCATGACAGAGCCTGAAATGCAGAGGGGAAAAGCGTGAGCCCTGGACCTAGGCCTAGGATGAAACCCAGCTCTGTCGGATCCCAGCTGTGGGGCTGGCAAGGCACTGGCCCTCCAGGAGCTTGGGCCTGCCCAGCTGTAGAGGAGGAGACAGCATCTGTCCGGCATCTCCTGCATATCACCTACATCCCTGCAGAGAGCACGGGCTCCATGGGCAGAGGTGATAATTCTTACAATTGTGATGGAGTTGATATCTGAAGATAAACTGCTCATTATTTTGAAAATTTTGTTTTTAATTGTGCCTTCTTTGAGCAGACTTGCTTTTACAGCCCTATAGGAATAAAATGCAATATAACGGGGTATAAATGTGGCATGTAAGCACTGCTCAGGTCACATGCTCAGGGCAGACACTGAAACTGTACCTCCGCTTCTGAATACTGAAAAGGAAATCTGGATATGTAAAATGTATTTACACTTATGTATTTTTTTCAAAGTAAAACAGAGAAGATGGAATACAACACCAAGTAGAAACTAATTAGCAGCATAAATGTCAGAAGTAGAGACACTGAGCTTTTGTGCTGCAATTTATCTTTTACATTATGAATTTTAACTAAAACGAGAGGCTATGCTGATAAAACAGATTCCTCCTCCAATTCAGGCGAGAGGGCATTCCGGAAATGCTGCTCTGATCGTGAGATGGGATGACTTAGGCAAAGAGGAGCACTTAGATAGCCCTGCTAAAAGAGGTGCTCCTAGATTTCCATTGCAAATCATATGAAAGCATCATTTGAAGAAAGCTGTCTTCTAGCACAGCCGGCTGGCCTTGACGGTGGTCAGCAGTGACTGCTCAGAGTTGGGGCTTCCAAATCAAGCCTGCAGCCTGCCTTTGTCTAAAAC